TCACAGCAGTCCTGTTGTATCCATAAGTATACTTAAGAGACGGTGTCAGGACGGGCTTCCGCTTTAAGAGTCAAGCAGATTGCACCAGCAGCTTCCCTCCTCTCCCGTGATGTTGCTCTTGGGGGTTTAGGTGGCCGTTGAGAAAGCTTGTCCAAACGGTGAGGGTCACTGGTTAATGCGGCCTGTTTCCGCCCACAGGCAGCTTCTTCTTCTGGAAGTGTCTGCACGGAGAGAGCTCCACGGAGGACACGTGCCGCACGCTGGAGTCGGCGGGACTCAGCCCGCAGCTGCTGCTGGTGAGTTTCCTGTTGCTGACGCTGTTCTCCTGCTCACTCATCCGAACTGTCATCTTTTCGTGTTTTTTTAATTTATTTATTTACTTATTTGCTTACTTACCTACCTACCTACCTACCTACCTACCTACCAACCAACCAACCAACCATTGTCTAAAGCAGCGGTTGCCAACCAGTGGTCCGTGAGGTCTGAAAGGTTGGCAACCGCTGGTCTAAAGCATGCCCTCGCTCACAGTTCACAGCTGCGAATGGGAAGAGAGGGAGAACTTCTCCAAGAAAAACAAACACAAGAAACAGAGCCCAAGAATTAAAGTAAGAAATTGGATGTAGAATAAGATGAGCTTTAAAAAGAGCCCTGCTTGGTCACTGTGGTCACGTCCGGCAGGGGACATGGCAGCCAACCTGACCCTTGCTCAGCCCTCTGGCCGAGGGAACCTACGTGTGGGTCTGTGTGCCACGCCGTGAGCGTGCATCCTGCTCGCATCTGGCTCGTTCCCAGAGCAGCCACTGCCAGTGCCCGTACCCAGGCAGAGCAGAGGAGATGCCACAGCCTACCTCTTACGTGTGTGACTTAGCCATGGCTTTGTTACACGTCATAGGTGTCGAGGGAACTTAACTCGCATGTGTGTGACATAGCCATGGCTTTGTTACACATCGTAAGATGCCGCGGGAACCTAACTCGTATGGGTGTGAGTTGGGCATGGCTTTGTTACACATCGTAAGGTGCTGAGGGAACTTAACTCATACATGTGTGAGAGGCTATGGTACAGTTGGGGTTTTGTTACACATCATTTCGCTTAAAGTCGCAGACCCTGGTGATGACATTAACTGAGGACTTAGTGTGACAGAGGCTGCAGCTGGAAGGCAGCGCCTAGACCAGGGCAGAGGTGGAGAGGAGGGGTGTAGATCTCCACAGAGGACTAGGGATCCCTTAGGCAGACGGCACCTCGTTCTGTCCTTGTCACATGTTGTCCCAGCCCCCACTCATTTCCCAGAAACACTGGATCCCGTGTACAAGTGCGAGAGTTGAAGTGAAATGTTGTCTAGACTGAAAGGATCTGCATCTCTTTCAGTCTCTGCTCCTGAGCGTGTGGCTTTCTAAGGAGAAGGACATCCTGGAGAGGCCGCAGTCTGTCCGCTGTCTGCCCACGACGCTGTCCCTCCTGAGCCGGATGAAAGGTAAGTGCTGGGGCCTGGACTGCGTGTCCGCGGCCTCCGCTCTCGGAAGCCTATTTGGTGCTTAAAGTGCTAGAGAAGCTGCAGGGGAGATCGTGTCTCCTGCAAAGTCCTTCTCCCCAGAGCCTCGTATCCAGAGAACGTGCCTCATGCATTGCGAGGACGTGGCTTTCTGAAAGTCGCATTTTGTGCTGTCACCAAAAATAATGTAATTTGCACAGTGCGTTTGCTTAACTCGGAGGTAAATCTAATGGTCTCTGGCGGAGGTTATTATTTTTCTTACTTTTGTTCTGCTGAGAACAATAACCTATTATATTAAACATTCGATGATGCTCGATTTCAGCAATGATGAACTATTCCAAGCAGGGCTTTAAAGTTGGTCCGGAAGCAAAGTGACCAACACAGCAAGAGTAACTGGAATATTCGTGTTCTGACTCAGCTAGACTTACACCAATTTTCCAGTTCATTCAGAAATAGGCAGGTTCGTCCCTGGGAGTTTAGTTCTAACTGTGTTTAATCTGGAAAACCGGGCCCAGAACTGGGAACTAAGCTTCCTTTCTGACGTTGGCTGCAGTGGCCCTCGACGACACGTGGGACTCCCAGTCGGTGTCCCCGTGGTGGCAGCAGATGCGCACGGCCTGCGTTCAGTCTGAGAACAACGGGGCTGCCCTGCTATCCGCGCACGTGGGGCACTCGGTGGCCGCACAGATTTCGGACAGCGCGACCGAGAAGAAGGTAAGTGACAGCGCAGCGTCTGTCCGTGCCGGTCCCGCCTGCGGAGGCACCGCACGTCCTCGTGCTGTGCAGCATCGGGGGTCTGAGCTGTGTGTCCCATTCTTACTTGTCTTTCTTAGGGTCAGGAGGGGGTGAGGGGTCAGCCTGCAGACCGATGGGTCCCGGGTTCAATTCCGGCCAAGGGCACATGCCTGGGTTGCGGGCTTGATCCCCAGTAGGGGGACATGCAGGAGGCAGCCGATCAATGATTCTCTCTCATCATTGATGTTTCTATATCTCTCTCCTTCTCCCTTCCTCTCTGAAATCAATAAAGAAATATATATTTTTTTAAAAACGGGGAGTAGGGGAGGTGGCGAGGGAGGGCTAACATCCCATAGCTTGTGGTAGCTCAGATTGTTTTCTGGCGGGAAGCCACATTAACCTGGATGAGACCCTTAACTAGGTCTGCTGCGAGTCACTTACATCCTCAGTCTCAGTAGTTCATAGTGTCAGTTAATATCACCAGCTTGAGAGGTTTGCAATAATGAGGGAGAAGTTGGTGAGTGCATTCTGAAGAGAGGTCAGTGTCCTGGTACTGATAGGAGAGCCGGGCCCTTCTCCAGCGCGGCCCTGACAGCCCGAGGGAGGGGGCGCCGGTAGGTCTCTGTAAATGTCCACACTCCATCCCCCTCGCCCCCGAGTCTCTCGCCCACTCCTGATCCTCACGTTTCATCCAGCTGAGTAATAACATCTGTGCGTTGTACCCGGCTGTCCATCAGCCTGCAGGTTGAAAGCTCATTCAAGTTCGTGGTGCCCTAGCTGGTTTGGCTCAGTGGGTAGAACGTTGGACTGTGGACTGGAAGGTCCCAGGTTCGATTCCAGTGAAGGACACATGCTCAGATTGCAGGCTTGATCACCAGTAGGGGGCATGCAGGAGGCAGCCAATCAATGATTCTCTCTCATCGAGGTTTCTATCTCTCCCTCTTCCTTCCTCTCTGAAATCAATAAAAATGTATTAAAAAAAATAAAAAGTTCATGGTGATACGGAATCCCCACCAAGTCATCACCAGGCATTGTCTGTCAGTTTTCCCAAACAGTTTTGGGTGCGGACGCGGAGGCCCTCACGGACTCCTGGGAGGCCCTGTCTCTGGACACCGAGTATTGGAAGCTGCTGCTGAAACAGCTGCAGGACTGCCTCATCCTGCAGACCCTGCTGCACAGCAGAGCGGACACGCGCCCCGCCAGGGCGCCCTCGCTGCCAGCCGAGCCGCTCCCCCGGCTCTCTGTCAGAAAGCTCCTGGAAGGAGGGAGAGGTAACGGAGTCTGTGGGAGCATGTGTGTCTGCAGCTCTGTTGTGGTGGTGTGAGCGTCTGTTATGGAAATGACTGAAAGAATAAGGAAAGAGCATTCCGCTCAGATTTTAAAATGGGTAAACAGCCCACCACACACTTCTTCTCAGAGTCTAATCCTGTCAATTCCCTACTCAGGGAACCCCACCCCACGCCCCAGCCTTGCAAAATAAGCACCTGTTCTTAATGAATGGTTGGGGGCCTCCAGCGTCCCCCCTTTTCCAGCTCCGTGCCTGGTGCATCCCTTCCTTCCCTGAGCAGATCACCCAGCACAGCGAGCCCAGTGGGCGGGAGGCAGAGCTCATCGGAGACTCCAGACCGAGCCAGATGGGAGAAAGATTTGCAACGTGTAGTGCCACTCCTCCCTGGACATCCTGTTGGGCTTTGGGAATTATAGTTGTTTTCATAAAACATTAACCTGCAGTGGGTTTATTTTTTCATTTTAGAATGAATTATAACATTTTTTACAATTTCTGCATTTTAATTTCTAATGCCATAACTACTGAGGCATATAAACTATAAGCTAAAGTCTTAGGGCTGCCCATATGGTTAAGCGTTTAGGGACTGGGACTAAGAAGCTCAGAAGCTGCCGGACAAAGTGAACTCGGCAGCTGGCTCTCCAGCACAGCTGACTGAATCCAGCCCCTTCCCACTTCCTGCTGGTCGCTAGGTTTCAGCACCAGTGAAGCCTGGGGGTCCCCGTCTCTGAGCCTGCACGCTTCCCTCTCCCCACCTCCCCCTTTCTCATTCTTCTTCCCCTGGACTCTGAGCTCTACATCTTAGCCCAAGTGCCACCTCCTCCCAGAAGCCTCTCAGACCAGAACTGCAGGTCTTCTCTTCTTCCTGCTCATTTCCACTGAACCGTGCGCATCTTTTCCGACACATGGCTTCCTGCCTCCTGGAGTCGGTCCCAGGCTTCCGTCTCAGGACCATAAGCATTTACATCTTGAATGACCTTGGTCGTCCCCTTTTCTTCCCAGCAGCTCCGTCAGGCTTGTGATGCTGGGATGACTATTTCTGGGTTTATAAATACGCATGCATTTATAGGTTTTTATTTAGTTAACCCGTCTTCTCATTCCTTATAAGACTTGTGAAGTTTTTAATTATAAATTCACAACACCCCACGCTGCCACCCGGGGCAGGTGTCATCAGGGCCTTGATTCCGGAAGGAAAATTTGCAAGTGATTGGGAAGCCAAACTTACGAAATTACATCTCGCCCAGCACACTGCTCTCCCATTCCCCTGATAATTGTAATTTTACTGTGAGCATTCTTTTTGTGGAAAGGTGTACATTTGAATCAAAATAGGAGGAAAGACTGAGAGAAGACATTTCAGTAAATTACAGAAGTTTAATATGTTTTGGATAATAAACAGGACTCTTCATAGTGAAGGTTTTTCAGTTTGCATTTATAAGTTTTTGGACTAAATTAATTGCAACATGGCATATAGCATCATGTTGTTAACTGTAGCTGAATTTTGACCCTAAATGTTCCATATAGGCAAGTTAGTTGACTCTTAAAAGTAATATATTGCCCTAAGAAGCCTAGACCAGTATCGTGCTAATCCGTGTTTTCACTTACGTTTAAATGAAAGTGTTTTTCAAAGATGTGTTCATCCTTTCATCTCCCTATATTTTGAATTTGTGACTGTACAAGGTATGCAGTATCCAGACATGTATGCATATGCACTTATATTTGTCTAATATTTTAGGTGAGTCTAAAAGTGCCCTTAGATAGCCAATGCCCGCTACCCTCACAGGTGGAGTGGTCGGTAGGAACTGCTGTGACTCCCCTGGGGTTGGGTCACTTTCCGGCTGAAAACTGCACGTTGGCACTTAGACTTGTGGTTGGAAATGCAGGTCCTGCCGACGGCTCCCTTCCGCAGACGCTATGCTGCAACTTCCCATCTTCTTGTCTCCAAACGGCAGGTGGCATCGCAGACAGTGTGGCCAAGTGGGTATTTAAACAGGACTTGAGCCCCGAAGTATTAAAACTGGCTAACGAAGAAAGAGATGCAGAAAACTCAGACGAACCCAAGGAAGGTATCAGCCGAGGTTTATCTGAGGTGTCAGAGGTGGACGTGAACTTGGGAGCCATACCAGGTAACACACAATGCGGGGAGATGGGTGCCCGGAGGAGGCCCGCCCGTGTCCGTGGAGGCGGCAGTCACAGCCCCTGCCTCTGCCTTGCAGACCTGCTGCGTGCGGCCCGCGAGCAGTTCCCGTGCAGCCTGGAGCTGGACGTGCTGCACGCACACTGCTGCTGGGAGTACGTGGTGCAGTGGAACAAGGACCCGGAGGTGAGACGCCGCCCCTCTCCGGGGTCGTCTTCCTGCGCTCACCCTGTGCACACGCGGGCAGTTTAATTACGTAACTTACAGGGACACGGGGTTTTCCCCTCGATGTCTCTGTCCTGGGAGCTGGGCATGTCCTCACGCTCACAGGAAACCGTGGCGTGCAGGCATTGCCATTGTCCTCGCGCTAGAGCTTGGTCCAGAGAAGCTGCGTTCCTTGCTGAGCGCACACTGCTGAGTCGGGATTTAGCCTCGGGGCCTCTGAGCTAAAACCAGTGTGATTTGCCTATTCCCGGTCAGATGTGAAAAGTAAATACATGTGTGTATCTTTATTGACTTCAGAGAGGAAGGGAGAGGGAGAGAGAGAAACATCAATGATGAGAGCGGATCATTGATTGGATGCCTCCTGCTCGCCCCTGACTGGGGATCAAGCCCGCAACCTGGGCATGTGCCCTGACGGAATCGAACCACTGACCTCCTGGTTCGTGGCTCCAGGCTCAACCACTGAGCCATGCCAGCCGGGAAATAAGTATATTTGTTATTTCCTTTTGAATTCCTGCATGAGATAGCACCTACCTAACTGAAAATTCTTCATACTGTGGTCACCGTGATAAAAGTGAGTCAGGAGCCTGATGCCCGCCCAGGGCCGGCTGCGCAGAGGCGTCTGCATCCCCTCATCCCGTCTGCGCCGGCCTCAGCAGGAGAGGCAGGACGGCCTCGTTGTGCACAGGGCGACTCGAGGACAGGCCGGCCTCGGGGCCTCAGCTCTGTGGGCATCATTCTTGGCCACTCCTGGCGACCACCTCTCTCTGGGCATTCATGTCTGAAAGTGTGGGGAGAAAGGCCCCATGCCTGGAGGCACTGCCTCTCAGCCCATTTCTCCTTGCTCCACCTTTTTTAATGACGGTGCCAATCCCTCAGGACTGATGCCAGGATAGATAAGATGTGAAGACATGGTGTTCGGCCCCCTTTCAGGCAGTCGCTCACCAGGCCTCCCTCGTCCGTGCCCTGCTGCCTTCTCCCTCTCCCTCCAGAACTCTTTCCTTTACTTCCATGTTCTTACTGCAGCATTCTTATGTAGCTTTGTGGAGAAGCTTATGTGAGAAGTCTCCATTTGTATTTGAAGCACTTACTAAATGATACTCTTTTTGCTCTTTTTTTCTCCCTTCATGTAAGGAAGCACGTTTTTTTGTGAGGTCAATAGAACACTTGAAGCACATCCTTAACGCACATGTTCAGAACGGTGAGTAAACAGGGGTGAAAACATCACTGTTTCAAGGACAGGAATCTTTACATTCACATCCTATTATGTTTCTATTTGGTGGTCTTACCACCTAAACATTAGTGTGTATTGTTTTATACAAAATACTGGCTTTCTTAACTGCTTAGAGAAATACTGTCCAGAAAAGGGAGTGGCTGGCAGTTGTAGAGAAATTGTAACGGACTGCTGGTTCCACTTAGGTGAGTTCCCAGGAGAGCTGAGGAGCTGAGCCGTGGGCTCGTGGGTCACCAAGGTTTCAAGACAAGGTTTGGGTGGTAGGAGAAAGTATCACTGTCGGTCCATGTGGTCAGTTCTAGAAAAGCTGCTGCTTTTTCCTCCACGACCACCTCCCTGTCGGAGGCATGAAGTCAAACGGCAGAAATTCCACGAGGCCTCATGTGACATGAGAGCTTGAAAATTAGTTGATTATTCACCGTTTGAGATCATACCGTCTTCCAGGAAAAGAAAACAAGATTTAAAGTGACTCCTCAGGGAATATGGTCCCCGGAGTCGTGTGTCCTCCCTGATAAAACTTACCTGCTGACGTCAGGCAGTGTTCCTTCAGGGTAGGGCTCGGCACCCCGTGTGCACTGAGGCTCCCGGTTTCCTCACAGCCTGGCAGGGCCTCGCTGCTCCACCAGGAGCGGCTGTGTGGGTGTGACTGCACGTGATGTCATGCTACGCTGACAGTTCTGACAACTGTTTCAGGAATTTTAATTTAAACGCCATAGTTTACTAAATATGCAAGCAGAAAGCCTGGGTGTGCTTTTTAATTATATTTTCTGTATTTTGGTTCTTAATATTTTTTACCTATCACGTTATTTGATGATTATATATCAGAGCAATCAGCGCATGGACATTTGTTTTGTTTCCAGTGTTTGGCTGTATGAATGAAGCTGTATTCATTCCTGCAGTGGAATCGCTGGGCCATATGGTAGACACGCTGTTACTTAGCTTTAGTTCATAACTGCCCGTTGTCCAAGTGCTTTTACCAATTTAATATCCCACCCGCATACAAGCACTCACTGCAGTTGTCTCCACATTCTCGCCAACACTCTTTATTGTCGTTTTTAAGTTAGCCTTTCTGTTGGTTATGTGATATCGCTGTCCTTTTAGTTCATCTTTCTCTTACAACTAAAGATGTGAATCTTTTCTTACGGTAACTGGCCATTTGGATTTCCTCTTCGGCAGCCCGTTCTGGGGTTTTTTTGTTGTTGTTTTTTTTAAATATATTTTATTGATTTTTTACAGAGAGGAAGGGAGAGGGATAGAGAGTTAGAAACATCGATGAGAGAGAAACATCGATCAGCTGCCTACTGCACACCCCCCATCGGGGATGTGCCTGCAACCAAAGCACATGCCCTTGACCGGAATCGAACCTGGGACCTTTCAGTCTGCAGGCCGACGCTCTATCCAGTGAGCCAATCCGGCTAGGGCCGTTCTGGTTTTTATTAACTTTATACGTATTGCCTGAGGCATAAGAGCTGAAATCTCAGTAAACAGCCCCTGTAGTTGTATAAGGTTCAGGAAGCCGAGTTCGCCCCGTGTGATGGGGAGGAAACCCGAGCCTCCGCTCACTGTGTTTTCTCCGCTCGCTGCAGGCATCGCCCTGATGATGTGGAACACGTTCTTGGTGAAAAGGTTTTCTGCTGCCACCTACTTGCTGGATAAGGTAAATTTCACGTCCTGGCTGCTTGTTCATTGGTCCCAAGTGAGTGGATATTAGAGAGATCATTCCCTTGGCCTCGCTAGACTGTGTTTTATTTGACACCACGTTTCACTCCTGCTCAGTGAGACGTGGTCCCATTGCTGGCATCCCGTGACTCGAGCAGGAGCCCACGTACTGGAAAGTCCTCCACGGTGTAGGCTCCGGACCCCGTAGGCCAGGACTGGCGGTCGGGCAGGCAGGGACTGGCCCTCTGTTTTAGGCTAAAGCCTGCAGGTGCCTCACTCACTCAGCTTTGGGTGCGGAGCCCAGGTATCTTCTTAGAACGGGGTCGATTGTAGTTCTTCGGGTTTCCTGCATAAACCTCACCCATAATGCGTTGCCTGAGTTCTAGGACCTGTTTCTCAAAGGTATGGTGCAGTCTGAGTGCAGAGTCTTTAGAGTTTTATAATTGAGCCCCAATCTTTGTAGTTGCTTCCTGTGTCTGTTCCAGTAGACCTAGGCGTCAGCTACTCTCCATAAATCTTTTTAAAGCAGTCAACATAATATTCAGACACAGCTGCCTTGTTTTCGTCATTCACCTTTCATCGGTTGAATTCAGTTCCGTAATTGCAGTATGTGCAGCCAGCATTAGATTTGGGGATGAACTTAACGTGCCAGCATGTCCCTGGGCTGGGGGAGGGAAGCTGTCGGCGCTAGCAGGAGCCTCCCGGCCTCAGGCACAGCAGCTGGGCCCGTCTGTGAGCTTCAGGAAGCCTGGTGGTTAGGACTGGAGCCTGGTCTGCAGCTGCTGGAGGCCGAGCTGCAGGCTGGTGTGGGTTTGGGATTTTCTAGTGAAATGTGTCGGCCGCTTACCTCCGGCCTGGCTGTGGGTTGAGGGCTCAGTGAGGGGCAGCTTTTCATTTTTCTCAAAGATACTGGGCAACTTGAAGCAGAGGAATGATGTGTTCGGATTTGCGTTTTGGAAAATGATTCTGGCGACAGGGTGAGACACAGTGGAGTTGGGTGGGCTGAGCCTGCTTGTTGGAAGGCCACTGCTGTCATCTCAGCAGGAGCTAATGAGGGGAGTCCTTCCACCGTCTTCCACCGTCACCGCCTCCTGTGAGTTGTGCTGTCACGTACGTTACCTGCCACTCACCACCCTGTGCAGTGCAGCGAACAGCAGGCTTATTAGCACCGTGTCCCGGAAGTCAGCTGGCTTTCCGAGCTAGAAGTGGGGCTTCTGTCTGCTTTAGATCGTCCCTCCTTTCCGACCAGTGAACGTCATTGTGCCTTCATCAGTCAGCAGAATTCTTAGCTCCTCGTTTTTAGCATGGACTTTGGTTCTGAGTTTCAAGGAAACCTAGTTATTTAATTATGCAAAGTAAGAACCAGATTTTTTAGAGTCTTCCTTATTTAGTAGTTCAAAAATCTATATTTTTGAAAAGGATTTTTTGTGAGCCCAGAGTGGTATTTTTTTCGTAATGTACTTTTACCAAATTCCACCACACAATTAATTGCATTCTGTTATGGTGGCCACACTTAGTTATAGGTGTATCTGTATTTTTAGAATTTGGTTACTTTTATTTCCCATACCAGAGTGATGCCTTATGTGTGTGTGATGCCTTTTTGTTTAAGTTACTAAATAAATACAGCATTCCCGTCCTTTGTCTTAGGTTGGAAAGTCACCCAAGGAGAGGCTATGCCGAAGGGTAAGTGAATCGCCCTGAGTTGGATGTGTAGTTGCTGACCCCACACTTGAACTAGAACCCCCTAACGCAGGGGTGAGCGCTGCCTTTCACCTGCTGATGGCATGTCGGGAGAAAAGGAAATTGGAAGGTGGGACTATGAGGGAACTGCTCTGGAGCTCTGGCCGGTCCTGATTTGCCTGTGCGGGTTCTCAGATAGCTGGGCCAGCCAGGCTCTCACGAGACGCCTGCAACTTTGCCCTGGAGTAGTGGTTTGATCTACCTTTATGTAGTAAGAACTTGTAAGAGTTAGATCAACACTCCTGCCCACGGGCACTGGCTTTTACTCAAACTTTGGAACATTATTGCACATATAAGAAATATTGGGACAAACTCAGCTATTACAGACCCTCGGTCCCCAAAATCGCCCTGGCTGAGGATTCTGGTGCGCGCTCGAGCGTCCCTCCTTTTATTGGAGGTAAAAGGTGTATTTTCGTTCATGTCACACACACAAACTCTCTCTCTGAACATCTTAGGGATGAGGGATGTGCTGGTTGCCGGTTTAATAAACAGCGTGTGACTGCAGGGGCCCCTCGGCCAGGCCCTGCAAGGGC